GAGGGGAGCCCAGCAGGACACTGAAGAAACCGGATCCTTCCAAAGAGATTCTTGCAATTACTCTAGCAATGCATAAGCCCAAAGTTGAATGAAATACAGTGAGGGCGGCTATCAAGAAGTTCCTTGAGAGCCTGCTTGCTTTGTGTGCTGGGACCGACACAGGCCAGATGGAGAGCCAAAAGAAAACCTCTGAGACTGGGCAGAATCCTGGAAAGGCTCGTTAGCACAGCTGAATGAAGACAGGTCTTGTAAAAGAGAAGCAGCTGTTTGAGTCTGTCAGAAAAGCCACTTAAAACAAGATGAGGGAGGAGGAAAAAATGTTTGGCTGCAGCCCGGAAAATAATTTGAGTGTTGGGTTTCATTTCTGTGAAGAGAAGGAAAATTGCTAGGTAATGTATCATAGAATTATAGAACCATAGAGCTGGAAGAAACCTCAGAAGGTCATCAAGTCCAGCCCCCTGTTCTAGGCAGGACCAATCCCAACTAAATCAACCCGGCCAAGGCTTTCTCAAGCCAAGACTTAAACACCTCTAGGGATAGAGACTCCACTACCTCCCTAGGTAACTCATTCCAGTGCTTCACCACTCTCCTAGTGAAATAGTTTTTCCTAATATCCAACCTAGACCTTCCCTACTGCAACTTGAGACCATTGCTCCTTGTTCTGCCATCTGTCACTACAGAGAACTGCCTTTCTCCATCCTCTTTGGAACCTCCCTTCAGGAAGCTGAAGGCTGCTATCAAATCCCCCCTCACTCTTCGCTTCTGCAGACTAAACAGACCCAACTCCCACAGCCTCTCCTCATAGGTCATATGCTCCAACCCCCTAATCATTTTGGTTGCCCTCTGCTGGACCCACATCCTTTTTGTAGTGGGGGGCCCAGAACTGGACACAATACTCCAGATGTGGCCTCACCAAAGCCGAATAAAGGGGAATAATGATATCTCTGGATCTGCTGGCAATGCTCCTCTTAATGCAACCTAATATGCCATTAGCCTTCTTGGCTACAAGGGCACACTGTTGACTCATATCTAGCTTCTCATCCACTGTAACCCCCAGGTCCTTTTCTGCAGAACTACTACTTAACTGGTTGGTTCCCAGCCTGTAACAATGCTTGGGATTCTTCCATCCCAAGTGCAGGACTCTGCACTTGTCCTTGTTGAACCTCATCAGATTTCTTGTGGCCCAATCCTCCAATTTGTCTAAGTCACTCTGGACGCTATCTCTGCCCTCAAGCATATCTACCTCTCCCCCTAGCTTAGTGTCATCTGCAAACTTGCTAAGGGTGCAATCCATCTCCTCATCCAGGTCATTAATAAAGATATTGAACAAAACCGGTCCTAGAACCGAACCTTGGGGCACTCCGTTAGAAACCGACCGCCATCCTGACATCGAGCCGTTGATCACTACCCGCTGGGCCCGGCCTTCTAGCCATCTTTCTATCCATCTTACCATCCATTTATCCAGTCCACATTCCCTTAACTTTCTGGCAAGAATATTGTGGAAGACTATATCAAAAGCCTTGCTAAAGTCAAGGTATATCACATCCACTGACTTTCCCACATGCACACAGCCAGTTACATCATCTTAGAAGCTAATCAGGCACAACTTTCCCTTTGTGAATCCATGCTGACTATTCCTAATCACTTTCCTCTCTTCCAAGTGCCTCAAAATGGATTCCTTAAGGATCCCTTCCATGATTTTTCCAGAAAGTGAGGTAAGACTGACGGCCTATAGTTCCCTGGATCGTCCTTCTTCCCTTTTTAAAAGATGGGCACTACATTTGCCTTTTTCCAGTCATCCGGGATTTCTCCCGACCTCCACAACTTTTCAAAGATAATGTACTACGAAGGTACTCTCATTATACAGGAGATAGTGAGAGAGAGCAGTCAGTCACAAAAATAACCCTACACAGTCCCTCTACCTTTCTTTTTGAGTGTAGTCTGAGTAGAATTCAACATTGGAGGAGATTCTATTCTGCCATCAGAAGTTAGCATCCACCCAGCATATTTGTTTAGGAATACTAGGGGGCTGTTTTGCTGCCAAAGGTATACACCATTCATGAAAAGCAGAGACAATACTCAGTAGTGCTGAGGCCTGCTACCCAAAAGGAAGACTTGACTGGACAGTGTTCTTTAGTAAACTCTAGAAGAGTGACAAGTATCAGAGGGGTAGCCGTGTTAGTCTGAATCTGCATAAACAACGAGAAGTCATGTGGCACCTTATAGACCAAAAAAAAAAGCGGTAAGTTTACACTCCAGCTTGTTACCACTTAACAGTTCCTTATGGTCTCTGCTGCTGTACACTTACATTACAATTACAGTTCCTTAGTGCTCTTTGCGTACTTGGTCAAAGTGCATTAGGGACAGGGCCGGCCACCACATTTTGGCACCTGAGGCGGGGAGCTCAAATAATGCCCTCATGCCCCCTCACTTGGGCCAAAACTTTGAAAGGTCTTAATTCTGCCTTCTTCCTGTTCTACTCCTCTCATGGCACTCTACCATCTCTGTGCATCTGGAGCAGAGACAATACATATGCACCAGCAGCAGACACAATTTTCTACACTCTGGGTCTTAGTGGCACCACCCCCCACACACAGTCTGGCACCTGAGGTGGCCGCCTCAGTTCTCCTCATGGTAAGGCCAGCCCTGACTAGGGAACTGTTAGTGTTCAACAACGATGGCCACACAGATAGTGAATATGTGGCACAGTAGAGTGCTGTTGATTTATACCTCAGTTGGCGGTACATTAACTCACTGTTTAGGCAGTACTCAGAGATGTGAATTCAGTGGTGCTACTCACATGTAAAAAGTTACTCCCATACCAGGGTTCTTGAAATAACTAGGCTTTAGATAGTAAGCTCTTCAAGTAGGACTTGCTTCTCTCTGTGGTATAAGGCACCCAGCATGCTTTTGAGTGCTGTGTAATGTAATCATGAAAATGAATAAGTTTGAGATTATAAAACCACATTTTGGGTTGAACTGTGGGAGAGGCTTCACTTAATTTCTTCAAAGGTCCCGGCAACATTCCTTCCCTCAGTAAAACAGAGCCAAATACCCAAGGCTGTGTGTAAGCAACTGCTGCACATGACAACCTAAGTTCCACTTTCAGAAGAGGCAGGTATAAGTCCCAGTGACTTCAATGGGAAGCTGCAGCTGTTAAAGGGAAAAGAGAACTGGACTCATAGGGTACGTCTACACTACATGGCTCCGTCGACGGAGCCATGTAGATTTGTTTATTGGGCAAAGGGAAATGAAGCGGCGATTTAAATAATCGCTGCTTCATTTAAATTTACATGGCTGCCGCGCTGAGCTGACAAACAGATGATCAGCTGTTTGTTGGCTCAGCACACTAGTCTGGACGCTCCCCTGCCGACATCAAAGCCCTTTGTCGGCAGCCCCGCTAAACCTCATCCCATGAGGAATAACGGGGATGCTGACAAAGGGCTTTGATGTCGGCAGGGGAGCGTCCAGACTAGCGCCCTGAACCGACAAACAGCTGGTCAGCTGTTTGTCGGCTCAGCACGGCAGCCATGTAAATTTAAATGAAGCCGTGATTATTTAAATCGCTGCTTCATTTATGTCGGCTCAGCGCGGCAGCCATGTATATTTAAATGAAGCGGCGATTATTTAAATCGCCGCTTCATTTCCCTTTGCCTACAACCCTCATCTACATGGCTCCGTTGATGGAGCCATGTAGTCTAGACACAGCCATAATGTGAATGCAGGACTGTGATTCTTCTTTTTCTCCACATTGCTCCTATTAAGATAACGTCTTAACTACACTGAGAAAAATATACTAATTCAACTTAATCATCTTCTAACCTGATGAAGATAAAACAGTGTAAACCTTTTGCATAGAGGCATTTATTTTGGTTTAAGAGCGTTTTACATTAATTTAGCTTAGATCCGTTCCTAAGGCTTGGCCTACATACAAGTTGCAGTGGCTTAGCTAAAGATGTGATTAACAAACAAACAAACAAACACCTAAACCTATGAAAATTGGTGCAAGAACATTTTTGTATTGGTTTAAACCTGGCTTTGTAAATTCAAGTGTAAGCCAAGCTATTATGAGCCTGATTTAAACAAGCTCAAGGGTACCCAGAGAGGGGGTTTAATTTGTTTTTTTAACGTTGTTTTTAAATCAATTGAAATGAAACTTCAGCAACTTATGTCTTGATATTAGCTAAGTGACTATAAAGTGTTCTAATTTAAACTAAAATGGGAGCAGCCACACACATGTGTTGCCCCAGTTTAACTACACAGAAGTTCCAAAATGGTGCTGTTAAATTCCTCTAATTTCGTGTGCAGGTGAGGCCTAAGAAGTCTTCCTGTCTGCAGAGAAGCCAGGCTGCTTAGGGGTTCAAGATGAAGGATCTTGCGGGGAGAGAAGGAATCTGTCCCTATTCTACTCTCTCTATGTGGAGACCAGCTGGTCCAGTCACTGCGCAACCGGCATCCTCATTTGCTTTGCAAAGCACTCCTGGAATGTAAAAGGTGCTATAAGCAAATCTATGTCAACTTTGGTCTCCTGAAAATGAACCAGATGTGTTTTTCTGCAATTCGTTTTGTTGGGTTTTTTTTGTCCCCTCGGCCCCTTCATGGGGCCTGTTTTCGCTTGTGTATTTGACCCCATCATCCACTGTCTAGAGAACCTTCATCAACTGCATTTTTTTTCTCTGAGCCATTCAGTTTGTTGACCAATGGACTTCCAGTTGGCAGCAACAAATAGCAAACAGGCTTTATTGAATGTGTTGCTACCTTCTTCATTTTCCAATTAAAGGCAAAAGTTAAGATAGTATTCCTCCTACTCCTGCCTCTTAACATATGAGCTGGTACAACTGATTCTGATTACTCAGCTATCTGCTATAAGCATGAAAAAGCATATTGTATGCATGGCTGCAGACACTTTATATTTTCTCCCCAGTCAGATAAAAAAGTGAATTGGCTATAGGTCTGTCAATAGAGACTAATCATGTGCAGTACTATTAATTATGAAGGGTGTCATTTTAGAACAATTCTGGGCTGGGAAAGAACAGGCACAGGTTCATTTCCCTCTGGCTCTGTTTGTGTTGCTAAGCCATTCCAGGTTACATCCCCTTATCGATTTACCTTTTATAAACTCCTGCCCCCTCATGAGTAAACATGTTCTAAAAAGTGTGTCTGTGTGTGTTCATGTGTGTGGGGGTAGGTGGGAGGGGGGAGGAGGTGGTGATCTAGGAAGAATTTTAATTTTAAGCCTGGAAAAGAAATGAGCATTGCTCCAAGAAGACATAACCTGGCAGTAACTTCTAAAGACCTGGGGAAGACATCAGGAGGTACTAGCAGGTGGGTGAAACAGCTTATGAGGCTGAGCCATAGTAATCAGGATTTCCATCATATATAGGAGAATAATCAGGAGGCAATTCCCCGTGGTGATTCATTTATATGTGTGAGAATGCACCTGGAACAAGTCATCTATCCCCAATTGCTACTTCTTCATTCCATATAGGATCATCTTCCTTTCATATCCAGGCATGACAAATCTCCTTCCTTACAGCTCCTACTTCTCAACCCTCTGCTACTTAGAATCATTTCTGATATCTCTGGCCTCAGAACTCCTGTGCCAGATTTATCATTCGTAGCTCCCCACCTGCAGCAATATGAAAGCCTCCCAAAGGGCTTTGACCATTCTTCCTGACATAACAAGGCAGGAAGGCCATCTGGGGTGCTCAGAAAACAAAAGTATAAATATTAATAAACCAAACTGAAGCTCCAGCCTCATTCTTGCTGGTAGGAAGAGAGAAATATCCTTGCCATTTTCCTTATACCGGGCTGGCGCTTAGATGATGCTGTGATGAGCAAGCTAGAAAGGAGTGGCAATGCCACTTCACATACACAGGCTTCATTGTGGAAGACATCTCAACACTGGGCATGGCAAACCCAAGTCTGGCATAGATGTGGGAAAATGTTCCCCTTAGGCCCCTGGACTAATTGTCTTGGTGGTACAGGGTTGCATTTATGATCTACTTGAAAGAGAACTGAGCTGCTATTTCCACAGACAGAAGATGTTTATCTTGCTCTTTCAAAAAACCCCGGGAGGCTACAACCGACCATACATTTTTATTAGCTAAGAAGCAGATGCAAGAAAGAAACAATGTGAAATTATTACTTATATTCAGGCTACCTCAGGGGCCTCGTAGAACTTTAGTAATCTGGTCTGTGCTGCCATGTGGGAGCCCATGTTTAAAGTCTTTGTAGTTTTTTCTGGCTCTGTGGGATGGAAGAGATGGCCAGAGAAGTGAGGTTCAGTGCTGAAGGGAATCCTGTTTAGCTGTGTCTTGCCATGAGGTCAGTGAAGGTCAGTGAAACAGGACTCTGGGCAGGAGGAACCCTGACCATTTGTTAGTGCTGTTAATCCAAACGCACCAGAGCTCCCATCGCTCATCAGTTCTGCCTGCAGCCCCAACCATCTTTTTCCACTGTGTAAGGTCGGAGATCTTCAGCAGAAAAAACATTTTTACTTGTGAAAATTGCTTTTGCTTCCTGTAAGTGCACCCTCCCCCTCAAAAAGTCACAACGTTATTATTTTTCACAAATAGTGAAAAAGATTCACTTTGGGATGACTGTTTGCCAGTGATTAGAATGTTATCACACTCCTCTAGTCTCTACTGATTCTGGGAGGACCCCTGCTACTGTCATTGTCTGGCTTCATCATCTCCTGTGCACTAAGACTCTGTGGTTTAAAGTCCATTGTTCAGATGAGCATTCAGATCAGAATAGGAATTGTTCCAGTTCAGTAGAGCGATCAAAATTTAGAAGCTGGTGCCACATTGGATCAGAGGTCCATGTAGCCCAGTAACCCATCTCCAACCACAAGCAGTACAAATGCTTTCTAGGAAACTGCAGAAACTTCCTAACTGTCAGAACATTAGGACGATGGAACAAACTACCTAGAGAGGTTGTGGATAGAGCCCTGCATGGATACAAAATTTGTATCCACATCCACAAAAATTTGTATCCACATCTGCAAAAATGAGCTGAAGATATCTGCATCCATAGATGCAGATACCTGCAGATATAAAGCGAATAGCTGCAGATTTGCAGGGCTTTTGTTGTGGAATAACTTTTATGGGAGGCTTTCAAATATAGGCCGGGATAGCCATCTCTCTTGGGTGGTTTCAGCACAACATGTCCTGCATGTTGGCCAGTAGTTAGACGAACAGACCCTTGTGTCCCATTTATTTCTATGAATCCATGAAAGCCCTGTAGTGGAAATTTATGGAATCTGCTAGAAATGAAACTTTGCTTTCTTATTCCCAATGGTAAGTTTTGGTATTTTAATCATTGCTACAATTAATCCTTATGTTCACATTAGATTATAGGCCTTTTTTCAATTAAAAATTAAATTAATTTAAGTGGGCAAATTATTGTAATTTGTAACCACGACTTTGTGTAATTGTGAATTGTCGGAACAAATGGGTAGTTAAATGCATTGTGCTTGCAATTACCTGCTTTGTAGGCCCAATCACAAACAAATTCGATTTATTATTGTGTCCACTGTGGCATGTTTACACTGTGTGAAAATCAGGCCCCGCATCTACCATATACATGTTTATTAATAGTGTCCTTCTCACCAAATACAATTCCCATGAGTTTGACCTTGAAATGTTTTTCAAACTCAGTTGCATTTTTAATAAGAACAATGTATTTGACCAAATTTCCCAGAAAAACACTGACAGATCTGCCAAAGTGTGCACACAATTGTTACACCTACAATTCAGCATATTTTTATGTGCTGGTGAGTATTCGTACACATGAAGTGGTCCGTTGCCTGTACAAATGGGCAGAAAGACATGCAGTTGCATATTATTTATCTGCAAATGTGTTTCTGTAGACCCTACATTCCAAATGTAACTAGCTCTACTCCATGTCAGAAACCAAACCAGGATGTTTTTGCTATTTTGTTTCCTTTGTCTGTGTGGATCATAGAATCATAGAACTGGAAGAGATCTCAGAAGGTCATCAAGTCCAGCCCCCGCTCTAGGCAGGACCAATTCCAACTAAGTCAACCTGGCCAGGGCTTTGTCAAGCCGAGACTTAAACACCTCTAGGGATGGAGACTCCACTACTTCCCTAGGTAACCCATTGCAGTGCTTCACCACCCTCCTAGTGAAATAGTTTTTCCTAATATCCAACCTGGACCTCTCCCACCACAACTTGAGACCATTGCTCCTTGTTCTGCCATCTTCCCTGCTAAGAACAGCCTCTCTCCATCCTCTTTGGAACCTCCCTTCAGGAAGTTGAAGGCTGCTATCAAATCCCCCCTCACTCTTCGCTTCAATCAGGCCAGTGCTTCACAAGAGCTCAGCTACTCTGGGGTGTGATGCATTCAGCCTTCTCCTGAGCCTGGTGTGTCGGATACTGTAACTAAATACTCTTGGGACTATTATTTAGTTACCAAATACCCTTGCAGGGGTTGTTTAATCACTACTTCAAACCATTCAATTAGCGAGGACAACCATGTCTCATGAGTCTTTTCTTTTCCGCTCACTGAGCCTTAGATAAGGACAGGTAGTTCTCCTCTGAAATAGAAATGAAACACAAGTATCCTGGCTGACGCAGGCTCTGGAACAGAAAATTCCTGACCAGCTGTCGCTCACTTTTCCAGAAAATTTTTCCACAGGAAAAAAATTGAAATGTTTCAGTTTGATATTAATCGGTATTGACTTGTGCTGCTGCACTACCTCATGGGAGTTCAGGTGCTTCCATTTTCCTCTCTGGGCAGGGCATCTTGGCTTGACTACATCTCCCATGATGCACCCCAGATTCCCCTCTGGCTAAACTGCCATAGTACATTATGGGACATGTAGTCCAGCTGGGGACCCTGGCTCATGAGGTGGAATGGGGGCAAGATGCCCCTGAACTACAGCTCCTCTAAGGCACCATGGCAGTTCAGGCAGATGTCAAACTGAGCCAAAATGAAGTGTTGTGACATTTCCAAATTGAAAGATTTTGGAACTTTCCACACTGGGAAAATTGTTGATATTTGTCATCCTTATTTCAACATTTTTTACCCCAAATATCAGAATTTTCCACAGGATAGAAATTCCTGTTTCAACTTGCTCCACTCCACACAGCACACAGGGAGATACAACAGTGGGAACACACATGCAGCCAGAAATACTTTTCATTACACCTCATGCTGAGGAATCACCTTAACAATTTCAGAGATGTTCTGGCAAGTCCTGGTGGGCTCATAGATATCCCAGTTCTCTTTGGACATTGGATGTAGCACTGCTGTCACAGGCCCCATCTTCCTCCTAGGTTCTAAGAGAAGATGACATGCTTAGGAAAGGCAGAGAGTTCAGAGGGGAACAACAAGAGAAGATAAAAGATACAGAAAACCAGATCTATGAGGAAAGGTTACAGAAACTGGGCATTTGAGAACAGAAGTCTGAAGGGGGACCCGATAACAATCTTCAGATATGTTAAAGGGTGTTCTAACGAGGGTTGTGATGAATTATTCTCCAGGCAGGACAAGAAATGGGCCTAACCAGTAGAAAGGGACATTTAGGGTAATATTAAGAAAAACTGTTTCATTCTGAGGGTAGTTAAGCTCTGGAATAAGCTTCCAAGGGAAACTGTGGAATCCCCATCGCTGGCGGTTTTTAAGAACTGGCTGGACAACCACCTGTCAGGGAAGGTCTGGATTTACTTAGTTTTGCTGAAGTGCAGAGAACTGGATTTCATGATGATTCTGAAGGTCCCTTCTAGCCCTTCACTTCTGTGATACTATGTTTGAAAGGCTTCCCATTCTGCCTTTAGGTGCCTGGCTTCCTTCCACCCTCATCCAGGTTCCTGAACCAAAGCTGCACTGCAGGCTTGTAGCCACGGTGTGTGAAGGAGCAGCAGGCCTGCTGGATAAGAAACACCCTCCCATGGAAAATACACATGCACAGGGAGGCAGACACTGTATCACTAGCCTCCTAAAAGCCTTGTCCTGTTACTTAGAGAAAATTCTTCACTGGTTCTGTCCCTCAAAACATGACATGCAACCTCTTCAGATAGTTTAGTTC